ACTAAGCTATATCCATTTGGGGTCGCCCAAGTCAGAAAAGGTAGTTTTGAGAAAAAGCAAATTAAAGATATCGTTATGTTCTAACACTAAATCACATAGCAACCACGCCATATATTTGTTAATTTTTGTTTAATATTTCTCTCGGTGTTATAATTTTGAACCAAAGAGAATAGTCCATACATTAGTCATGTAGGTCTTATATATTAAATCTTTTATGGGAATAAATTCTGTTAATCTCATCACTTAATTAGCACCTATGTGTTATAGTGCTCAAGAGATTAAGAATGTTGATTGGGTAAGTTTACCGACGTCAGTAGAGCGTGAAATCATTAACTATATAAAATTCTGGTCAGTTTATTGATAAAGTAATTTTTAGATCTACAAGAACTATTTTATTATTTTAAAACTGTGTTTTAAAGTGACTTTTAGATATACAAGAACTTTTTACTTTTAGTGCTTTTACACATCTTCTATATATTACTCCTCCATATAACTTAATTTAATCAACCTGTCCATAATATCATGCCTTATGTATTGGACGTTAAATTTGTAATATACAAAAGCTTTGCTATAGTGTTTGTAATTTCTTGTAATTTCTCGTGTTTTGAATTGTCTCAGTTATGGTGTAGTATAAGGATTAAATGTGGTTTTTTTTGATAATTTTCAATGTGCCTTTCTATGTATTTCTATCAGCTTTAGTTTTAATAAAAAAAATTTAATCGTACGGGATATCTACATGACTTTCGAATTTCGCCCATGAGAGATATCCCAAGATCAAACGTTGTACATGGTTTTACTATTTCACCGTTGCATGCAGTGCATAAGTTATATTTTTCGTGTGCTAAATAAAAACCAGCGGCTGCCAGGCTAGACTGGACAACCTGCTCTAAATGACGTTGGGCTGGTTCCTACGTCACTGCGCTATTCTGACTTCAATATAGAGACAGGTAGCGGGCAGCCATCTTGCCAGGAGGAATTCCTCCCGGCAGTGCGCATCTCTTTCTGCGCACATTACCAATGTTTACAAACAAAAACATGATCGGACGCTGAAGATGTCAACACCAATTAAATGCAGCGGTAGTTTATGTTTAGCTTGTGGATTAGATCCGAAACTATGCAATTTTTTCTCAATAATGGAATTGAACGGAACAATAATTAATATTTTGGAATTTGAAAAATGCGGCAATAAATCAAATGAAATATAACTTATTGACTATGATGAGCGATTTGCCATAGCCGGTAGGCCTACGATTTGTATCTGATTATTATAAGAGCTGATTTTAAACTGTCACTTTGTTTGGGTTTAAGATAACAATAAGATGTCGCCCAATCAACGTTTAATTTGGCTCGAGCAATCTTAGAAATTAAAGAAAAGCTTAACAAATCTTCTTCTAGCTTACTCATTTTAACGCTGAATGTCATCATTAGGGATACCCATCTATTTTTAGTAACACTACGTCAAAACATGGCTGCCCACTACCTGTCTCTATATGCAAGTCAGAAAAGGAGGGACGTAGGAGCGAGTCTGACGTATTAGAGCAGGTTATCCAGTCTACTGCCAGGCAGGATACGCCCACATTTTCGAGAGATGGATAGAGAACAAGCTAAAAAGGAAGTGATTTTTCCTACAATCAAGGGCCATAATTTAGAAAATTACAATTCGATATGCGCAAATATCGAAAGGAACCAAGATCTTTGGGTTATAAACTTACATTTCAAGTTTCAACAAAATCGGATAAAAATTGTGACCTCTATAGGGTCCACAACCTTGATATACCATATTTTTACGCTATTTGAGAAAGAGGGGCGGCCATTTTGTCTGTCAGTTTTGGGCCGATTTTCACGATATTCAAACTCAGTCGTCCTTAGGGTGTAACGGTGATATAATAAAACGGTTTTTTAAATCGGATAAAAATTATGACCTCTATAGGGTCCACAAGCTAAAATGTGATTTTTCGTACAATCAGGGGCCATAATTCAGGAAGTTACATTCCGATATGCGCGAATATCGAAAGGAACCGAGATCTTTGGGTTATAAACTTACATTTCAAGTTTCAACAAAATCGGATAAAAATTGTAACCTCTATAGGTTCCACAACCTTGATATACCATATTTTTACGCTATCTGAGAACGAAGGGTGGCCATTTTGTCTGTCAGTTTTGGGCCGATTTTCACGAAATTCATACTCAACCATCCTTAAGGTGTAATGGTGATATAATAATACGTTTTTTTAAATCGGATAAAAATTATGACCTCTATAGGGCCCACAAGCTAAAAACGCGATTTTTCGTACAATCAGGGGCCATAATTCAGGAAGTTACATTCCGATATGCGCGAATATCGAAAGGAACCGAGATCTTTGGGTTATAAACTTACATTTCAAGTTTCAACAAAATCGGATAAAAATTGTGACCTCTATAGGTTCCACAACCTTGATATACCATATTTTTACGCTATCTGAGAACGAAGGGTGGCCATTTTGTCTGTCAGTTTTGGGCCGATTTTCACAAAATTCATACGCGGCCATCCTAAGGGTGTAATGGTGATATAATAATACGTTTTTTTAAATCGGATAAAAATTATGACCTCTATAGGGCCCACAAGCTAAAAACGCGATTTTTCGTACAATCAGGGGCCATAATTCAGGAAGTTACGGTCCAATATACGCGAATATCGAAAGGAACCAAGATCTTTGGGTTATAAACTTATATTTCAAGTTTTAACAAAATCGGATAAAAATTGTGACCTCTATAGGATCCACAACCTTGATATACCATATTTTTACGCTATTTGAGAACGAAGGGCGCCCATTTTGTCTGTCAGTTTTGGGCCGATTTTCATGAAATTCGGACTCAATCGTCCTTAGGGTGTAACGGTGATATAATAATACAGTTTTTTAAATCGGATAAAAATTATGACCTCTTTAGGGTCCACAAGCTAAAAACGCGATTTTTCGTACAATCAGGGGCCATAATTCAGGAAGTTACGTTTCGATATGCGCGAATATCAAAAGGAACCGAGATCTTTGGGTTATAAGCATACATTTCAAGTTTGAACCAAGTTTGTGGCCTCTACAGTGTTCACAAGCTAAAAACGTGATTTTTCGTACAATCAGGGGCCATAATCCACGAAGTTACCGTCCGATACATGCCAATATTGAAAGGAACCGAGATCTTAGGGTGATACCTATATTTCAAGTTTCATTGAAATTGGATAAAAATTGTGACCTGTAGACTGTTCACAAATAATTGTGGACGGACGTACAGACGGACGGGGGCGACGACAATATACGTCCACATGAAAATGTGGGCGTATAACAAATTCTAAAATATTAAAGACTCCTCCGTGCTCATAATTTCGCTTTACTTGGAGGCCTATGTATGAAATTCATATTTTTTTCGTACGATCATATTGTATTTTTTCATTGTATATCGTACATTATTATATTATTATTTGTTATAGCTATTTTCATCGTTATATATTCTATTGTTTAATAATTATTATTTCTCAAATGTAAATAGATATTCACACGATTCTTCAGTGCTCAGAATTTCAGCTTGTATGTATGTGTACGAAATTCATTATTTCTGTTATCAGCTATCATATTCTCTGTTTCAATAAAATTAGTGATTCCAAATTTAATCCATACACGTCCCAAAACATGTGCCAATCCGCATGTAACGAGAATAAATATAAATAACACTACACATTGCGCCATATTCTACGACGGTAATCGAAATCGCCGACAAATAGTCCAGTTGTTCAATGCCATCCATTACTGTTTAAAAACATTTCCTGATTTGAGAATATTAATAAATAATTAATTAATAATTTATTCAGAATGTCGCCATGGGCAAGTTAAGCTACTATTTAACTGATACTAATCGCCTATAGTAACAATACTCACCAGAAGTTTATATAGTTAACGATTTCACGCTCTACTGGTGTCTGTTCCACTTACTGACGCACATCAAAGATAACTGGCGGTTTCATTCAGATAAGAAAGGATATAAGTACCTATCCCACGTATAAATCCATGTATAAAGACCTACACTTAACAAAGACCGATCTGCGTAAAACACACGGTCGAACAAAAAAATCACAAGGTAAATTAGATTTAACACCTACGCGTCAGATAAAGCCTGCTGGTCCTTGATAAATCACCTTTGCTGCAGTTATAACACGCTTTCGAGAAAACTCACCAAACAAAGAATACACACCGTGTCAGTCGTTTTTAACCCGTTCGTTAATTAACACACCAGTACAGAAAACGCACCGTCACTGAGATTTTCACCCCTAGCGATAATTATATCACCTTTCAGTCAATTTCTCACCCCTGTTAATCAACACACTGTACCTACAGATTTTAGCCTCTTCGTATTAGATTTGTTGCGATAATTAGAATTTTACTGATATTGGTACAAATTTACTAAAAGGCGAGAAATCTATACTGTAAACGTACAAATCTCACCCTTACTACTTCTCAGTGTAGTGAAAGTGAAACAAGGGCCATAACTGTAGAAGTTGCTCAAATTCAATAGGATTCTTTTTTTACTAATTTAAACGACACGTATAAATTTCATACAGATTGACAGATAACTTTAGATGTTAGAGCGTTCACAACGTGCAACGAAGTGAAACAAGGGCCATAACTCTACATGTAATTAAGGGAAATTGCTGAAATTCATTAGGCTTCTTCGTTTCACTAATTCAAATAAGGCATATAAATTTCACAAAGATCGGATGATAACTTTTGGCGTTAGAGCATTCATGATGTTCAATAAAGCGAAAGAAGGGCCGTAACGGAAATTATTGAAATTAAATAGGTTTCTTCATCTCACGAATGTCAACAACATACATCAATTTTAAAACAATCAGATTATAACTTTTGGCGTTAGAGCATATACAAGACGGGCGGACGGATGGACGGACGGAGGCGCCGGCAATAGAAGTTCACATTTCCATGTGGGGGTATAAAAATGAAAAGAAATGAACCTACCTTTTAAAGCTGGCAAACATTTGTGAATCACCAAGAAATTTACTGAAGTCTATATGAAACATATGACCGGACTGTTTGAGCATAATATTATCATTATGTCTATCACCAACACCTAATACATACATAGCTACACAATACCCAGCACAAGAATATGTAAAATTCTCAACAGCCTGAAATGTACATAATAATAATTAGTTATTTTTACATTACATATCTTTAAATGAAATGAAATGAAATGGGGTTTAACGTCCTACTGTTCTGCTCCTCTGGGCTAATGAAGAGGGGCATACGCCATACAGTGCGCTAGGAGGGACATTTTGCCCGGGCAGCGGCCCTACGGCCTACACTTATATCGAATTCCAACTGCAAAGGGATCTTTTACGTGCACGCCAATGTGTACACGGGACCTCAGTTTTTTGTCCCATCCGAACGACTAGACAGCTGTCCTTGTCAGGCCCTCCATCCTGCATCACTGACAAGGGGGAAACCACGCTGGAAAATCTGGATGAACTTTCTCGGTCAATGCAGGGATCGAACACCCGACCTCCAGGCTAGCGAGCCAGCGTCTTACGCACTTAGCCACGTGATCCCCCAAAATTCAATAGACTCGTTTCACAAATTTAAATGATGCATATAAATTTCATACATATCGGATGATAACTATCATCAATCGAGCATTAACAAGGTTTAACAAAGTGAAACAAGGGCAATAACTATAGAAGTAATTATTGTAAATTGCTGAAATTCAATAGGCTTCTTCGTTTCACTAATCTAAATAATGCATATAAATTTCACAAAGATCGAATGATAACTTTTGGCGTTGGAGCGTTCACAAGGTTCAATAAAGTGAAACAAGGGCCATAACTCTAGACGTAATAAACAGAAATTATTGAAATTAAATAGACTTCTTCATCTCACTAATGTAAATAACATATCAATTTTAAAACAATTGGATGATAACTTTTGGCGTTAGAGCGTTCACAAATGATATAATGCTTACTTCTTTCTTACATTGATAATCTGACCTTATAGTGTGTGTATCTGGGGCCAATATGGGGTCTATATGGGATTACCCACATTAACAGCTCTGTTTTGTATACATGGGGCCAATATGGTGTCCATATGGGATTACCCATGTGTGTATCTGGAGATAATATGGTATCTGCATATAACTTTTGTATAACCAATCTGCACAGAAAGGATTACGCATATGTGCACCAGAAGCTTGTGTGATATGGATATGATATAACCACATTCATGTATATTATGTATATGGGTTCAATATGGTATCAATATGGGATTACCCACATGTGTATCTGGGGCCAATATCTTATCTATATGGCATTTACCACATATAAAATAATACATTTGGGTCCAATATTTTACCCATATGGGATTAGCCACAACTGTATCGGCTTCAACGTGGAATCATACCCATTGCATTTAGTAGATATTAATAAGTTTTCAGAAAATTAAAATCAGAATATCATTAAAGTGTTTATTTGGGATACGTAAACTTATTGCGCCCTCAACAGTTGCATTTACATGACAAGTAAACAGTCGCACATACAGGTGCGATTTACATTAAATCATGTCGCTTATGCTGTAATTTTACAACTACACAGATTTGTTAAAGAGCATAAGAATTTTTACAGGTAAGGTCTTTTTGCAATTTCTTTATTGATCTACTTTAGTTAAAAATATTTTCAATTTCCCATTTCTCCTTCATTAAAATTTAATGTTTTCGCTTTGTATGTAACCTGTAGGAATTGAGAAGTAAGAGATTAGAATTTAATAAAATTGAGAAATGAAGTTTTTTTTCTTTGTTTTGTTTTAATTTATAATATTGAACATGAACATAACTTTGTAACACAGGGATCACATACAGGGGACAATGGCACAAAATTCTTGAATTATCAATGGATAGGAAGCACATATTGATATAATACCTGAACAAAATATCCAATCTTGCTGAAAATTGGTTTAAGGCATGTTCGATCGACACTCGATGTATACAGGCTGATCACGATGTCGGCCATTATCAATAAATTAAAAACAAAAAATGCGTAAAATTGTTGAAATCGTAACTGGTTATATTCATGGTGATGCGACTATGCAAATTATGGGTGACCAAATTCATCACCAACATATCAAACTCAAAATAAACAACATTTTAAAAAATAACACTTTTGCACTTCTAAAACCAATACAGTAATAACAAATCAGAAAAATATAACTTAAGATTAAATTAATTTTCAAAAAGTATATTATCATATATTAATAATATTATGAAGCAAAGCGGCTAAAGCCTTTACGCGCAATATAAATAGGTACTCCATAGGTAGATGATTTATTCTACTGCCGTACTGAAATTTGTTTTATATTTTAAATAGTAATATTTTAGCTTACTATAGAATTAAGTGATGCACTAATATGTACTTTTCAGAGATTAAACATATAGGTATGTAAGAACAACACTGACAGATATATGCTTTTGTCTGGTGCCCTTTTTTCACAAAAAGCTGTAACCATTTTTATTAATGAACAGGATGATGAAGCTGCTTGGGTGTGTCGATATGTGATATTTTGCAGGTAATATATAGTGCACTTACTTATTTTTTCGTTTTTTCATTCGTTTAAGATAAACTGACTTGGACGATTAGGTGGCAGAGATGTCCTGTCCATCGTTAACAACATCATGAAGAATCTCAGTGTCACTTATGTACAACGCCTTTACAATTGGACAGGATAAAAAGGCAAGCGTGAATTAGGTGCACATGCTACAGCTACCATTGTTTTTAGTAAGTAATATTGATGATACGTCATTGTTGGAAATAAATGCATATCAATAATAGTTCTGGTATGATGGGGTTTATTTTAATGTTTTTACAATCGTTCATCAAAAGTCTTTTTGAACCCTCTGCATATTTCAGGTGCAATTTAGATTTGAATTGTATGTGATTTGCGGTCTAAGGGGAGATCATATGGAAAGAGTTGTGTTGCTTTGTCAGGTTGCACATCAATAGACCTAATGTGCTTTCCTTTTGAATTACAGATCCAGTCAGAAGAAATCCAATGTTTTGAAACACCACAAACAAGGAAATCAAAGCTGCAGTTAGTCGTTTGAACTGGTTTCCTGACAAATTCAAGGGACGGGATGGTGGGAGATCTCAACGAATTTCAACCTAATTGAGAAAGAATAAAAATAAAACATGAAACCAAATATAAATAGTTTTGTACTTATTTGGTACTTGTTGTTTACCATGCTTAAGTTACTAGAGAATTCATCAAAGTTACATAGAGCAGGGTTGAACACTTGATATTTATTAAAATAATGTTACCTAGCATGCAACAGAATATGATCATACATCAGAAGATACTTATATTAAATTAGTCTTAGTTCGGCTATAATTTCTAGTCTTAAGAAACTCTGTTCAAATTGCTTTGTGCTTTAATTATTATTTAAATGAGAGACCCAGAGAAGACTCATATGGATCCCATAGAGGGCCCATATTACATATCATGGCATATCCACAAAGATCCTATATGAGTCCCATATTATGCCCATATTACATTTATTTGCACCCCACATGAGTCCCACATAGAAGACATATTACATTTTTTAACATGGCCATATGGGTCCCATGCAAGCCCCATATCACATTTATTTGTACCCCACATGAGTCCCATATAGTACCCATATTACATTTCTTAACATTGTTATATAGGTCCCATGTAAGCCCCATATAACACCCATATTATTTTAAATGAGTTACCCATATAGATCCCACGCAAACCCCATTTAGTACCCAGATGGTTGCCCATATGAATGTTGGGTGCAAAAATGTTGGGTCCCATATGGGCTCCCCATAATGGCACCTTGACATGACACATGGTACCCATCAGTGAATGTTATCAGGGTGGTTTCCTGATAGAAAATTGAACCCCAGATCGATATCTGTTTTCGATCATGGAGAAAGGCTCCCGCAGTAAATAATAATAATAATAACTAGAACTGCGATGCAGTAATGACGGGTTTCACCGGTGCCCCGTTACCCTTGAACATATGTCACTTCCGGTACCGATGAAACCATTAAACAGGTTTCCATTTAAGCATTGCACACATCACATAAAATGTACGCAGAATCAACCAAATCCAGCAATATCAATTCATTGTATACATTCATTACATGTAAGTGATCCTGACAACATTACATTACTTCCGGTGATAATTAAAATGTTAAATTAGTTTCATGAAATCAGAAATAGCATAAGGCATCACATGGTGAAAATTTTATGTAGATCGAATAATATTTGCCACTTTTATTGTCCAAAATCCTTGAAAAGTGACTTGTAGAAAATCGTCTATTTCTCTGCAACCGTACAAGTTAGAAACCATATTTTGGTATTTGTATGATCGTGTGAGTTCAATCTATTTGTTGATTGGAATCAAATATCATAATTTTAAAAACAATACAAATCAGACTCATTTGAATAAAATATCCGTTTTGAAGGCTAAAAATACAGTTTTTGCCAAAATGACGTTACTTCCGGTGATAATGAAAATCTTAAATTACATGTATGAAATCTTAAATGGCATTAGATATCACACAGTGAAAAATTTATGAAAATCGAATAATAATTGACACTTTTATGGACCAAAAACCTTGAAAAGTTACCTGTTGAAAATCGTCTATTTCTCCGCAACTGAACAAGTTAGAAACCATTTTGTGATATCTAAATGATCGATTGGGTTCATTCTATTAGTTGATTGGAATCAAATATCAAAATTTTAAACAAATAACAAATAAGACTCATTTGAATAAATTACTGGTTTTGAAGGTTATAAATACAATTTTTGCCCAAATTACGTCATTTCCGGTAACATTGAAAATGTTAAATTGGTTTGACCTTGTTAAAATTGACATTACGCATCAAATGGTGTCACTTTTATGAAAATCGAATAATAATTGACTCTTATACAGGCAAACTACGTAAATAGTGACTCATGCAAAATTGCCCATTTCTCGGCAACTGCTCATATTACAAACTAATTTTCACATACATTCTCTTCGTATGGATTATTGCTACTAGTTTATGAAACTAGTTTATGAAAAGCCTGAATGGGTTGTGAATAGCTCATTTTTTCAACTTTTTTCACCTTTAAATA